TTTTTAATTTATCAGCTATTGAATTGCACCACTACAAGTGAAACTACAGTTCAGTTCAATAGTTGTCAAAAAAATTCAATGAATTGAACTATTGAACTGAACTCAAATGAACTGTTGCGGATGCTCTCATCTGTTAATTTTTGTACCACATGCAGAACCATCGATAGCCTTGCAGTTGGTTATGGCAAAGGAAAATTAACATTCTTTCTCTGCGACATTAATGCAATTGCTGATGTGGTGAGTTAACCAAACAGTTCTTCAATTTATTATTGTTATTATTATTATTCATACCCTTTTATCTAGTATGCATTTGGTAAGCATCATGTTCGTATAAAAATGGAAACATAAATACTTGCTTCTTAAGTTTTTTTTCATCCACGCAGAAAGAAGGCAACTAATTAGTGAATGCATTTCTTTCATTAATTTCTGAAGTATTTTTTTTTAAAGAAAAAGAGTTATTTGATGCAGATACCTGCTGACATGGTGGTGAATGCAATAATTGCGGCAATGGCTGCTCATGCAAATCAACCTGGTGAAGTAATTTATCAAGTGGGGTCCTCTATGAGAAATCCTGTAAAATACTCTAATTTTCAGGATTATGGATTCCGTTTCTTCACCAAGAAGCCATGGATTAATAAAGATGGAACTCCAGTGAAAGTTGGCAAGGTCGCAGTTATGGGAAGCATGACTACCTTTCACCGATACATGACTATCCGTTACTTACTATTACTAAAGGTAATGTTTTTTTTTTCTTTCTAGATTTTGCTTCACAACTTAGACAGCCATGCATCGCCAATATGTTTATAATATAGAATTGGTTTAGCCAGCCCAAACATACACTAATAATTTTTCAATTATAGCCTGTGTGCCACTTTGGCCGTAACCTGACATGACATGCTGACTTAGTATGAATTATTAGTTCATATAGATTAAAATCCGAGTATAAAGTTCACCATTTAGAGTTTAGGGTTTAGATATAAATAAATATGCACATGCTATAATATTATCTTTTACTATATAACTCTAAAATTTTATGTATTCTATCTTGATATTGTCTTTTTTGTCAATTTAGGGTTTAGATATAAATAAATATGCACATGCTATAATATTATCTTTTACTATATAACTCTAAAATTTTATGTATTCTATCTTGTCTTTTTTGTCAATTTCTTTTTCCCACGATAGGGATTGGAGGTGGTTAATACAGCATTTTGCGAGTACTTCAAGGACACGTATGTGGATCTCAATCGAAAGATCAAATTTGTGATGAGATTGGTGGAACTTTATAGACCATACTTGTTTTTCAAAGGAGTGTATGTACATATGATTCCTTTATCTTGTCCTTCATGTCATTTTACCAAGCTGGAAAATATAATTTTGATTTATAACTATGACCTAATTTCTTGCATGCAGCTTCGATGATATGAACACAGAGAAGTTGCAAATGGCAGTGCGAGAAAACACCACAGAGGCAGAAATGTTTTACTTTGATCCCAAGTGCGTAAATTGGGACGATTACTTCATGAATATCCATCTTCCTGGGGTTGTCAAATACGTTTTCAAATGATTACCAAAATTGGGTTGTCGAATATATACATATATATATAGTTTGAAATATGGGTGGAATTGAAGCGCTCTAGCCATTGTATTTACTCAAGGCAGTATACAATGGCTCCCTAGATGCATTATAAATTTCAAACAAGTTTATGAATGTAATTTGTTTTCATGAATATGAATATGATGATGAACAATTGTTTGTCACCAAATGTAATTTGTTATAATATGAAAGTGTCAACTACTTTAATTAGTTGTTAAATAAAGTTTGTCTTTTTAACAAGATATTTATCTTCTCTTTTTTTAACAGTATGAGGAAATTTTATAATGAATAAAAAATCGGATATTCAAATGTGGAGTAAAACGAAGAGTTGTAGGAAACTTAAGAACGATTTTACTATGAAATTTAACATAACAATGTTCTCAATTTTAGTCAACATTGATTTTACATCAAAGATCATTTTCATGAGTGATATGGTTACATAGGAACCAGCGCAAAACCTTTTTTTTGTTTTTTGTTTTTTTGTTTTTGTGATTCAATGGAATTTTGTTCAAATAAATTGAAAAGGATTACAAAAGGTAGCGAACCACAAGCTAAGGAAAAACCGAACACTAGCAAAACAAACGAATAAAGGGTCAAACAGTAAAGTACATAACAGACAAAGTGAAGGCCCAAAAACAAAAGCCATGATTGAAAAAACAGAAAACCTTAGATCTGAGCATAAAACTAGGCTGTCTCAAATTACAAGTCCAATAGTCTTCCGTTTTTATCTGATACTAGGAATCAACAATGGGCTCGGTTGGGGTTGGCTTATTTTGGCCCATTGGCTTTTATTTTGAACTTCCATTTCCAATTATCACTACTACAATTTTGTTAAACCACAACTCAAAATAGACAGCGGTGCACCTTAAAATCGTCGTCGTGTTTTAAAAGACAACGGTTTTGACCGTCGTAGTATATCATCTTATACACTACTAAAATGGAGTTGCGTTGGGTTGATTTTTAAAACATAACGCTTGTCAATTAGCAAGCATCTTCTTTTAAAACACGAGTGTGAATTCGCCCTCGACCTAAAATTCAGATTTCCTCATGTTTGTGAAAACCTTAGCTCTCCCTCTTTGAAACCCTCATGAGCTCTCTAAAACACTCCCTCTCTCACCTCTACGCTCGTCATACGTACCTACCAGCATACTTTGGGGTCATTGACTACTTGGTAGTCTTTCTTGTATCTCTTTGGCTGTGATAGTCCATACTTTGCTTTAGTGAAGCTTCTTCATTGACATGTGATGGGTTTGGTCACACAATTGAGAAATCTGTGAGTTTGCTTGTTTAAGTAATGTTGGAGTTTGTTTTATGAGCCCATATGACTAGTCATATATACTAGTCATTGGTCACTGGTATTGGTTTGGAAAGCTATG